CCTCAGCATCAGCAATGGTTCCTACCTCATGGTATGGGAACTAAAAGATCTTCTCAACAAATGTTCTTCAACTCTTTCAACAGTGCAGCTTGGAGTAAAAGAAAAATCTGTTCTTACTTGGAGATCTAAAATAGCCTTTTTGAATAGTGAAGCTTGGAATAATAGGCATATCTGGCGCCCAAATGATAAGGGTGAAGAGGCAGCGCTTTTCAAACAAAGGGGAGTAGAGCAGAGAGACTTGTACCATCATCATCATCATCTTTATCACATAAGGGACGCTGAGCCCGATTCTCAGCATGTTCGGTTCGTCCAAACCGGGTAGACTGTGAGGACCCCGACCTCAATCTTCTTATTCATAATATCAGCCTTGGGCACTGGGCCCCTTTAAAAAAAAAAAAGAAAAAAAAAAAGGTCTTTCCCCTGAACCCATATGCTGGTGGCAACGGGCACTCTTCCGGAAATTGGTCGGGAAATGGACCGTCTGGAGATGGAGTCTGCACCCAACATGGCTGGAGCAATAATAGCTGTGGGAAATACTTGTCTTCTATTCGACTTGGGAGGGAGGGAGAGATTTGCTTTTGTAGACAATGCTTTTTTGCCCCATTCATGGTTTGATGGTGTTTGTCTGCCTGCAGAAATTAAGAGATATTGGCCGTAGATAACAAAGGTCGGTGGCGTATATCTTTCAGTCCGTGCAAGTAGGCCCTCACTCCTGCAGAGGGAAGGTGGGAGGAGAAGACAAAATATGACTCACTTGGCGTCCCTTCTCTAACAAAGGTTGGTGGCATATATCTCTTAGTCCGTGCAAGTAGGCCCTCGCCCCTGTAGAGGGGATGTGGGAAGAAGAAGACAAAACACGACTCACTTGGCGTCCCTTCTCTATTTTCCTCTTCTCTCTTCCTCTCACTACCCTATGTACACCAACAGTGAACACCCACCAACCCGGACGCGCAGCAGTGCTGTGGCAAGAGCAAAGGTGTACTAGCCCATCATCACGGTGTGGTGAAAACTAACAGTGCTCCTCTCCCCAACCCATTGAGCTGGTTCACACCATAGTGTTGTGGGGAAAGCGAACGTGTACTAGTCCATCACCACAGTGATGCAGAGATGGGCAGGTGTTGCCTGGGGTGGAATCCAACAGAGCTTTTCTCCCCAACCCACAGGGTTGGTTCACACCACAGTGTTCCGGCAAGAGCAAAGGTGTACCAGTCCATCATCACGGTGGTGTGGGGATGGGCAGGTGTCGCCTTTGGTGGAAACTGACAATGCTCCCCAGCCTACTACATTAGCAGTGTCTACTAGCCAATATAGTTGTTGTAGATGACCCAACGATATTGGCCTTGGCGCTGCTAATGCTTGCCTGGGTCCCCAGTGGGCTATCTCCAGGTTGTAGGACACCACGCATGTCGACGCACGTGCGTGCAGTAAGAATTGAACCCACGACCTTATGCATGCAATTTGGGGCTCGTTAGATACTCCTTGTGGCATCCTCGGGGCTGAAGGAGGTTTCCTTCAGGGTTTTGAAGGAAATTTCCATCGTCGTTCCACCTAACCTCAAGGTGGTCTCCCGAGGATGATTCCTTTTAGCCCCCCGCGGCCATAGTTGGTCGGGGAAGGGGGGGGGGCAATGCCTTGGTCCATTGGGTGATATTTGTCTCATGACGGTGTGGTCCAGCTGCCGAAGGTGGGAAAATTTGAAAGGCGCTGGTGGCGGGACAAAAAAAAAAGGGGGAAACTATGCGGGAGTCACAAAAATGAGTTACAATTGCACTAAGGGCTAAGATACAGTTTTGAATTGCAGTTGGGGCAATGCATACAACCCAGCCTTTTGGCCAGGTAGGGTGCCCGAAGTGCAATTGCAAACTGTATCTTGCCCCATAGTGCGATTATAACTCGTTTTTGTGACTCTACTGAAGTTACCCCCCGAAAAAAACTTAAAAAGCAATTGACATCCTAGTTTGAAAATTAAATTTTGAATTGGGTGTTGGACGTGATGACGGCGACGTGGGGCAGGAGGCGTCCATATTGGCGACGGTGGAAACGGGCATTTGCAGCGGTGTAGTGGAGTCGCCGTAAGTCATCACAATTTTTTTAGCGCCCCGCGAAGGTCCATCGCCATCGCCTCCTCCTGCCACTGTGCGTATGTGTGGAGTCGAGCACATGCGGGGAACATCGTTGGCGACTTGGCGCTGTGGTTACCGTGGTCGTGGCGAGTTCGTCAGCTGTTGTATTTTCGAAGTTGACGAGCATTGCAACACGCGTGCTGATGGAGGGTGGCGGCAACAACGGACATGCGAAGTTGACGACGATCGAGAAGATCGTCGTGGCGGCATTCGTGACGGCCGTGCTCTGTTGTTGTAAGCAAGAGAGGCATAATAAGAGCGCAGATCCGCGCGCGGAGGAGGAAGACACTTCATCAAGTCCCGGTCGAAGGGCTGGATACCGTGGCCATCAGCAAGGCTGTAGTTCAGATCTGCTGCACCATGGGTTGTGGTGTTCTTCCACGAGTGGCGCGGAGGTGGTGGATGAAAAGGAGGGTGGGTGGGCCATGGAAGGTTCTCAGGCAATGTGATGAAATGACGGAGGCAATGCGGCGACGCAACGGAGGAGTCGAGGATGCACACGTGGAAAAGGAGGACCACGACAAGCAAAATCGCGACTAGGAGCAGCAGTGGCAGCCTTCGATAGAGGCCGACCATTAACAACACGTACGACAGTGCCGTAACTCCATGACGACGGTGGAGGTCCACAAAATGGCGACGATGAAGAGGACAGCATACGACACACCTCGCCGACATGAGTGGGGATGCAGGAGGGGTATCGGGAAAAATATCCAATTTTACCGAGTGTTGAACCCCTACGAAGTTGTCGGGACGCACCGCGATGACAGCCCCATTTGAAGACGAATCCCGACAACTGTCGTCCTCTAACAGTAACCGTTGGCGACCCGTTGCCTGAAATCCCAACGTTGAGGCCTGAAGATGCCCATGCAGCCGCTGGCGAAACACCAATGGAAAAGCCGGAAAAAGAAAGTTGCTGAGGATGCATGCTTTCGCCACTCTGATTATCGCGGATCCTTGAGCTCCGAGGGACCTCGCGAGGTCGCTTGCACTAAGGCACGAAATGGCTGGGCCACAAGCCACAAGGACAATGCAAGGATTCCTCAAGGAAATGTTTTCACTTTTTTTTTCCAATTTCTTCCCTGAGGATAGGTGGAAAGATCACGTCCTTGTAGATTTTACGTGCCCAAGAAGTGTCTAAAGAGCGCCTTTGTGTGTCTTACAGAATGACCTACCCTTTCGCCAACCTACTCATTTTCGCTTTTGCTTTCTATTCTTTGCTGTTGCTTTGCAGTGCTTTTGTGGACTGGAGGGGAGGCACAATGACTGGCCCATGGTCGAAGCTCGGTCCTGATGCTACCGGCTGACCCCTGGCTGGTATGGCCCACCTGCTGTAGCAGGTATCCGTATCACCCAGCTGCTGTAGCAGGTATCGCACCTGCTGGTGGGTGCAGCTTCCACATTTCCCTCGTTGGAGGCTTGAGCACGGATGCGGCTGCTACGGGGTTCCCCGTAATACTATAATGACAATGAAGGCCTGAACGGCCGTCCTGTCCAGATTCGACAGGTAATAAAAAATAAAAAAAAAGAAGAAAAAGCGACAGCACCGAGCCAACAGGCTTTGTGTTAGCCAGACCCCCAATGGCGGCCCCAACCCTATACCCTAAACATTAGGGGGCAAGGGGCAACATGAAATCTTCCCTTCGCAGTGAGAGGAAAAACTATGCTTGCAGGGGTCCCCTCTAAATAGCCTTAGGAGTAGTCTTAGGAGTAGTGGTAGGTAGGTAGTGAAAGTGAATTTGGAAGAATAAAGAAAAAAAAAAAAACAGGCGTTCACCCCAGCAGTTCTCTCTTAGGATGAGCATATCACCCAACGGATTTGAGGCCGTTGATGACGGTGATCTATGGCTTCAGTTCAGGCTCAGGAAAAGGGATTTGGATGACGTGGCACCGAAGATTAGGTCTGCCTGTTCGCACCAACGCCCCTGCCACGCCACGCACGGAACGAAAAGAAAACGTGAGTGAAGCTTTCCAACGAAGCTGGCAAGGTACGTCGGATATCATTAATAGGAACAGATGTATTTTGCCCTCGTCTTCTCGAAGATGCACTCTCATTTCTTGCTCTCCGTGAGTAGCGTGGCGACTCCTACCTTGGGAGTCGTTGCCCTTTCCAAAAAGAAAAACAAAAACAAAAGAAAAGATGCCTCTCTACCCCCTTCATTCGTATGGGGATATTCTCTAGGCGAGGACAGATTCTACCTCTACCTTTGGGCCTCGCTCCACTGCTAAACCGAATGTGCAAAATGAGGACGAATCTGCCCGTAGAACATCCAAAGATACCCCACCGTATTTCTTGTCTTTTGTGCATTTGGCGAGTAGTGGACTTTTTTTTTTTCTTTTTCTTTTTTCTTTTTTCTTTTTCTTTTAAGAGTAGTGGACTTTGCCCCCTTCTCGCGGCCGAAGTCCCATTTATTTACACCTATCCTTTTTTTTTTTTTGTTTTTTTTTTTTGCATCCTTCATTTCTGACCCTAGATTGCAATGCACAGATTTCGTAAGGTGGGATGTGACTCTAATGGCCAGATCCCACTAGCCACTAATTTTCATTTCTGACCGTTGATCTTCGTAATCGAGCGTGAAAAATGAAATGTGAAATCCAGGGTAGTAGGAGTCGCGTTTTCCAACTTTCAGTTCGATCGGGTCAATTGGCGCTCGCCGCACTACTCTCGAAATGTGCAAAACGAGAGTGAATCTTCCGCTAGAATATGGAAAGATGCACGGCCATGTTTTTTGTCTTTTGTGCATGTCGAGAGTAGTGCAGCGAGGCCCATTGCCAAACGACTATCTTTACAGTTCACATGGGTAGCGTGAACTTGGGAGGAGAGTTCTGATTATGACTAATGGTGTTTGCGCCCCGCGGGCTTTGTTTTGAAGACCAATGCGGTGACAGGTTCGGCCCAAGCTGGCGCACACAGCCAGCGGAGGTGTGGGGAGGAGAGGAGGGGTGTAATCTGCACACTTGTCACAGATATCCCGTCCGCTTCTCTGCAGCGGAAGAAGCAGCACCCCCACACCTCTGTCGACTTTGCCTCCTTTGTCGCTTTCTGACTCTTCTTCCTGCGGCAGGTAGCTAGTCATCTCTACTGGTAAGCTCCGCTGTCACCATCTCTGTCCACCTCCTCTTCCTCTTCCTCCTCATACGTTCTTTGTCCTCCTCCCCTTTTTTTTTTCTTTTTTCTTTGTTTCCCGTTTCGACGTTCGTCACCTTCCCCTTTGTTTGCCTACTCCTCTCTCCTCTGTTCTTTCTTCGACTTCTCCTCCACTGCGGGCAGAATCACCCACCACTTACCGAATCCTCTCTCCTTTTCCTCGTTTCTCACATCGCCTCCTCCTCCTCCCTCCTCCTCCTCCTCCTCCTCCTCCTCCTCCTCCTCGTCTTCGTCCTCCTCCTCCTCCTCCTCTCCTGCCCCTCGTCTCCCGTACCTGCCATCGATCTTTTCCTGTCACTTCACTTACTCATTTCTCCCGTACTATTCCAACATCATGACCCGTTTCCATT